GGTTCAGCTAGAAGAGCTCTTAGACAAGGGTTTCATTCGCCCGAGCGTGTCTCCTTGGGGTGCTCCAGTGCTTTTTGTGAAAAAGAATGACGGATCTATGTGACTTTGCGTCGATTACCGAGAGTTGAACAAGGTGACAACAAAGAATAGATACCCCCTTCCTCGCATCGACGACCTCTTTGACCAACTAAAAGGAGCGAGGGTGTTCTCGAAGATAGACCTACGATTGSGGTACCACCAGTTGAGAATTAAGGACGCCGACATACCAAGAACAACCTTCAGGACCAGGTATGGGCATTTTGAGTTCACTGTAATGTCTTTCGGACTCACTAATGCCCCTACGGCATTCATGGATCTCATGAATCGAGTTCATAAGGAATTTTTGGACCTATTTGTGATCGTATTTATTAACGACATTTTAATTTACTCCAAGACAGAAGAACAACAAGAGGGACATCTGCGACGGGTCCTTACTGCCTTGAGGGGGAATAGCTTGTATGTGAAGTTCTCAAAATGCGAGTTTTGGTTGGATAAGGTGGCTTTCCTTGGCCACATAGTCACCAGGGAAGGTATTGCCGTGGACCCGGCAAAAGTAGAGGCGGTCAGTGGTTGGCCAAGGCCTCCCACAGTGACCGAAATCCGTAGTTTTCTTGGGCTAGCTGGCTATTACAGATGGTTCGTCCAAGATTTCTCCTGGTTGGCGGCGCCCTTGACTCAGTTGACCCGTAAGAATGCCACATTCGCTTGGAGCGATGGGTGCGAGAAGAGTTTTCAGGAATTAAGAAGCGTTTGGTCACGGCCCCGGTACTAACGGTACCGGATGGGACGAGAGGTCTAGTGGTGTACAGTGACGCTTCGCGGAGAGGCTTAGGTTGCGTTCTGATGCAACATGGGAAAGTCATAGCCTATGCCTCGCAGCAGTTAAAGGTACATGAGCTTAATTACCCCACCCATGATTTGGAGCTTGCTGCGGTGGTGTTTGCCCTGAAGCTATGGAGACACTACCTTTATGGGGAAAAGATTCAAATTTTCACCAACCACCAAAGTTTGAAATATTTCTTCACTCAGAAAGAACTTAACCTAAGGCAGAGGAGGTGGTTAGAACTGGTAAAGGACTATGACTGTGAGATCAACTACCATCCGGGCAAGGCAAACGTGGTGACCGATGCACTCAGTTGGAGGGCAATGAGCATGGCACCTCCGACAGTGCCTCGTAGACCAGTACTAGACGAGTTGGATCGTTCTGAGGTGGAGTTAGCAGTGGTAGATGTCTCGGCAGTGTTAGCTCGACTCTCGGTTGAACTCACTTTAAGACAGCAGGTCATCGCTGCAGAGAAGGGAGACCCCAGCCTGAGCAAGGGTTTTGGTATAGTGGGCCAAGGGGATTTTTCTCTTTCTAGAGATACGGCCCTGCTTTATCAGGGGAGACTGTGTGTACCAAGAGACTTCTCTTTAAGGAAGGACTTATTAACCGAGGCTCATAGTACCCCGTTCTCGGTGCATCCTGGGAGCACCAAAATGTACAGGGATCTTAAGAAGCACTACTGGTGGCACAACATGAAGCGCGAAATTGCCCAATTTATTAGTAAATGTCTGACGTGTCAACAAGTGAAAGCCTCAAGACAGAGACATGCCGGGTTGCTGCAACCTCTGAGTGTACTTGTATGGAAATGGATGGCGTAGCCATGGACTTCATTACAGGGTTGCCGAGGACGGCTAAAGGTTTCACAGTGATCTAGGTGATTGTGGATCGCTTAACAAAGTTTGCGCATTTCATACCAGGCAAGGCCACTTTTTCAGTAGAAAGGTGGGCAGAGTTGTATATGCAAGAGATAGTTAGACTCCATGGGATACCAGCGTCCATCGTCTCAGATCGAGACCCCCGCTTCACGTCAACTTTTTGGCGAAGTCTGCATAAAGCACTTGGGACGCAGCTCAATTTTAGTACGGTGTTCCATCCCCAGACCGATGGCTAGACTGAGCGTCTGAATCAGATTTTGGAGGATATGTTGAGGGCTTGCGTACTGGACTTCGGTGGTTCTTGGGAAAAATACCTGTTCTTAACTGAGTTTGCCTACAACAACAGTTATCAGTCGACCATTGCCATGGCCCCATATGAAGCTTTGTATGGGAGGAAGTGTAGGTCGCCGGTTCATTGGGACGAGGTCGGTGAGAGGGCCCTGTTGGGACCAGAGTTGGTGTAGGAGACTAATGGCGTCATCCAAAGGATTAGGGCAAGAATGCAGACGGCTCAGAGCAGACAGAAGAGTTATGCTGATGTTAGGCGAAGGGCATTGGAGTTTGACATCGGCGACCACGTTTTTCTTCGTGTGGCACCGGTGAAGGGAGTCCTACATTTTGGTAAGAAGGGAAAACTCAGTCCAAGATTTATTGGTCCTTTTAAGATATTGGAGCGCATTGGCACAGTCGCTTACCGGTTGGCCTTGCCACCATCGTTGAGTGCAGTGCATAACGTGTTCCACATGTCCATGCTGAGGAAGTATGTCCATGACCCTTCACACGTCTTGGATTATGAACCACTGCAGGTAGATGAAACCTTGTGTTATAAGGAGATACTCATTGAGATCGTAGCAAGAGAGACCAAGGTGCTGCGGAATCGGGCAATTGACTTGGTGAAGGTCTTATGGAGGAATCAACAAGTGGAGGAAGCCACCTGGGAAAGGGAAGACGAGATTAGAGCCCGGTACCCTGAATTATTCGAACGACGAACTTTCGAGGACGAAAGTTTCTAAAGGGGGGAAGTCTGTAACACCCCGCGTTACTCAGGTTAGTTTACCCTCGAGTCTCCGGGCCTCTTTTCTTAGAAATTTCTTTTTATTTAATTTCATTGTTTCATTTAATTTTATGTCAAGCTGCTGTGGTAATTGTTATGAGTGTTGAAGTGTACTTACGTATCTAATTATTGTGTAACGAGGAAATTGTTTTCTCTACAATTGTTCTAGTCCGTTGGGCCCAAGTTAAGTATCTAGGTAAGTGGGCCTTCCTTATTTTAAAACAAGAGGGAAAAAGAAAAGAACCTAGCCCAAGTGGGTCCCTTCTTGTAAAAAACAAAAGAAAGGTAAGGAGAAAACCCTAGCCCCCAAAACCCCTCCCATTC